TGAACTGCCGTTATCCAAAGGCCATCCAGCCTGTTTCTCTCCTGTTTCACTCTGGACTCAGCTCCTTGTCCATTTGCAACATCTGTCCAGGACTGAGCCCACCTCCCGAGCGCCTCGGGCATCACCCACCGGCTGCTGGATGGTACCCCCTCACCCCACCCCGCCCCAGGGGTGCAGGCTGATAGTCCCAGGAGCCGGCTTGGAATCGGGGCCCTGTCCAAGGTCTTCTTTAACAAAGTTATAAAAAATCCGCGTGACTTTTTTTATTTTTATCCTATTTGTTGCCTTCTCGCTCTCACTCCCTTTTTTCACCTTTACATGACCCAAGGATGCCTTTGCTCAGTTGTTCTAATTGGTTTTAGGGAGGAGAGCCTGATGATGGGAGTAGGGCAGCGGAAGGGGAGGGGAAGGCAACAAGGGGGAGGGGGAAAGGGGCGGGGAAAGGAGAGGGTGGGACCGGACCACATAATTAGCTCTGCCTCGGGGCTGGAGAAGACACTCTGGGAGCTTCGGGTGCTTGAAGGTCGCAGACTGGGAGCCGGGAGACTGCGAATTCGGCCCCGAGGCGTAGCGTGGCCAGCGGCCCGGTGGGCCAGTCCTGTCCTGGTGCTCAGCTCGAAGCTAGCGCGCCATTGTGCGCCTCTCCTAGCCCGGCGATGCAGCCTGATTCTCCAACAACGCCTGCCTGGACTCTTACAGACCCCGCTGCAGCTGCAGCTGCCGCGGCCGAGGCCGGGCCCAGCCCCACCAACCTAGGCACCCCTGGGCAGGACCAGCACCCAGTGCAGCCCTGGAGGAAGACGCCCGAAGACTTCACTTTTGGCAAAGTCCTAGGTGAGGGATCGTTCGCCACCGTGGTCTTGGCCCGGGACTTGGCAACTTCCAAGGTTTACGCGATTAAAATCCTGGAGAAGAAGCAAATCCTTAGAGAGAAGAAGGTACGCTATGTCACCAGCGAACGGGATGTCATGTCCCGCTTGGACCACCCGTTCTTTGTCAAGCTTTACTTCACGTTTCAGGACGAGGAGAAACTGTACTTTGGCCTCAGCTACGCCCAAAATGGAGACCTCCAAAGATATGTGCAGAAACTGGGTCCTTTGGATGAGCCCTGCACCCGGTTTTATTCTGCAGAGATCGTGTCGGCCCTGGAGTACTTGCACGGGCAGGACATTATTCACAGGGACCTGAAACCCGAAAACATTCTTTTAAATGCCGAGATGCACATTCAAATTACAGACTTTGGATCAGCCAAAATATTGCCCCCCTGTAGTAAGCAAGCCAGGGCTAACTCCTTCGTTGGCACGGCATATTATGTGTCACCGGAACTCCTCATGGAGAAAAGCGCGTGTAAGAGTTCGGACCTGTGGGCTCTGGGGTGCGTAATATACTACCTTGCAGCAGGCCTGCCTCCTTTCCAAGCTCGAAACGAGTATCTTGTATATCAGAAGATTATTAAGCTAGCATATGACTTTCCAGAACAATTCTTCCCAAAGGCAAAAGACCTCGTGGGAAAGCTTCTGGTTTTGGATTCCACAAATCGATTAGGATGTGAAGAAATGGGGACATATGGAGCCTTGAAGGCCCACCCATTCTTTGAAAACATCACGTGGGACAATCTGCATCTTCAGACTCCTCCACAGGTCCCCGGATCCTCAGTTTCTACATTGGAAGATGAAAATGACTTTGGAAATTATAACATTTTCCAGCGCGTAGGTCCACCTTCATCTTCTTCCCATTTCTTGGCTGTGGTAGAGCCACGCTTACTCCAAAGGCCCACTGGTCATGTGGAGGGCTACATTCATCAACTGGATGAGAACTCTTTGGAGCTGGACCTAAGGTTTTCTGAAGAGGAGAAAATACTCTTACTGGAGAAGCAGGCTAGTGGGAACCCGTGGCATCGGTTCGTAGACAATCATTTAATACTGAAAATGGGCCCAGTAGACAAGCGGAAGGGCTTGTTTGCCCGACGGCGCCAGCTGCTTCTCACAGAAGGACCTCACCTCTATTATGTGGATCCTGTCAGCAAAGTCCTGAAAGGAGAAATCCCTTGGTCTCCACAACTGTGGTCGGAAGCCAAAAATTTTAAGACCTTTTTTGTTCACACACCTCACAGGACCTATCACCTGATAGACCCAAATGAGATGGCTCATAAGTGGTGCCAGAAGATCCAGGAAGTTTGTCAAAGCAGATGCCAGAACCATCCACAGGCTGCTGTCTAGGAAAGCTTACCTGGGGAGGGCCAACAGCCCTGGCAGCTGCCCTCTGTCTCGAACTCTTTGGCCATGTCTGAGTCCTACCTATGTAATGAGAGGAGGGTGTGTTTTCCTGCTTTTTATCCTGCCTCATCCTCCACCAGCCTCTGTCTCAGTGATCATTAAAGCCTGAGAGTCCTAATAATGCCTCTGCTGAAGCTTGATTTTAATTTAATTTTATTTTATTCTCCTCTTCCACCTTTTTTTTACATATGGAAGAAATAAAATGCTTTTGCCTTCTACTTTGCTTGTTATTTTATGTCTGAAGTGGTCCTGCTAAGTTATCTTCCCTCATCCTTCTCCATAAGATTTCAGGAATGAGTTTATACAGTAAGAGTTTGTAAAGTACTTTACATTAGATTGTGAGCTCCTGAAAGCCAGTGCAGGTTTTGCCTTTCTTATATCCTCTGAGCAAGCAACAAGCCCATTGAGGGCCTATTGTGTGCCAGGCTTTCTGCTGAGCACCGGTGTGCCAAGCACCCGGAGAAACAAAGCCCAAAACAGCCCAGCCCCCACCTTCAAAGTTTACGTTCTACCCTCAAGATGCACCCTTTCTGTCTCAGAACTTCCATTCAATTGGTATGTATTTTACCTGGGTTTAAAGCCTGTTATTTAGGAGGTGGAGAATACATTAGCTCACTAACACCTCTACTGTAACCACCCCAGCCGGCAGCCAAGTGTGGAGAAGAAGGAAGGTAGACTGAAGGGGGGAGGTGGAAGTAAGGGAGAGCATGGTTGGCTGGGGGGCATAAATGGGGAGTACAACTGGGGCTCAAGGGAGCATGGGGGAGACAGGAGCTTAGCTTGGGGAAGAGAAGCCAAATCAGTGGGAGGACGGCCTCCTTCCCCATCTTGCTCAAGCTTGACTGACTCCTTCATAGACGCCACTTAGCCGAGGCTCTTCCTGGAGCCTTAGAGCTGAAGGGGCTCTGAGGGATAATCGAGCCTGTCCCTTTCATTTTATATGTGCAGACAGTGAGGCACCCAAAGTCACAGGGGGTAAATGGAGGCAGGATTTGAACCCAAGAGGCCAAGCTTCCCACTCTTCCACTACACACACCAGCCCCCCCCCCCATTTCCTCCTTCTTGGCTGTGTTCACTGAAGCTGCTGCTACTATGATTCACACACTGGGCTCTGCGTAACTTTCACACGGGCTCTGAACCTGGAGTCCATGAACTTGGGATTTAGAAACATTTTGAGCATTATGTGTCAATATAATTCGTTTCCTTGTAACCCTCTGTATTTTATTTTATGTACTTAAAAAGACGACTCTGAGAAGGGGCTTCCCTAGACTGTCAAAGGGTCTGGGGTGTCAGCCACAAATATGAGTCTGATAAATAAGAGTTCTGAGCCTGGAGACAGAAAGACCTGAGTTCAACTCCAACCTCAGACACTTAGTCGTTTGTGTGAACCTGATCAAGTCACTTAACCTGTCTGCTACAGTTTCCTCCTCTGTAAAATAGGGATGATAATAGCCCCTTACCTCCCAGAGCTGTTGTGAGGATTAATGAAGTAAAAATTGTAAAGCACTTAGCACGTGCCTGGCACTTAGTAGGTACTTAATAACTGTTTAGTGACTAATAAGCAGTTACTAAGTGCTAAGCACTGCAGTGCTGGGTGCTTAGGGTGGAGACGAGAGGTGAGAAGCTTGTTGTTGTAAGAAGCTTACCTTCCATTAGTTCAGTCAACAAACATTTATTATTTATTTTACTCTGGGCCAGAGCCACGTGC